AAACTCCTCCATTGAGCTTGTGGTGCCTTGCCGCCGTCCGCCGTGGTTCGAACGCCTCTCATTTCGCCTCAGTCTTGCTCAGCCGTGGTCCCCTCCGTCCCACCACCGAAAACCAGGTCATACCCCACACTATCCCACTGTTGAAACTTCTGCATTGAGCTTGTGGTGCGTCCGCCGCCGTCCGCCACCGTTCAAACGCCCTCACTTCGCGTTTGAATCTTCTCTGCTCTGTGAGTATCCTCTTCTTTCATTCTTTTCAATTTTTCTTGTTTATTGAATATTTTGGCCATGAAAATCTGTTATATATGAAATGGGTTTGTTAGTTTTACATTGTGATTGGCTTGTATTGTTCATTTTGCATTTTTTATGTGGTTGAACCGTTGATTGGTGTTGATTGGTGGGCATTGGATGTGAGAAAACCTTAATTCCTTCTTATATACTGTATTAGAAACATGTTTAAATGTTTGGAGTTGATTAGTTGTGAAGTTTTAAATTTTTTTATAATTTTTGATATTTATTTCGAATTTTTGGTAATTTTTTTGTAATAAATATAAGAATTTAGTAATAAATAATTGTTTGTTATTTTGTGTTTTTTTTCTTTTGTTATGAATTTTGATTGATAGTAAAGTGTTGTTTAAATAATCTGTAGAACAATGGATCGTAGTTGGATGAAAGCTAAGAGAATTAGCAAGGAATATGAGGATGGGGTTGAAAAGTTTCTTGAGTTTGCTCAGAGAAATGCCCCTAGTAAAAGAGATGGATTGTACTATTGTCCTTGTGTCAAATGTTTAAACAATAGTCGACGGAGTATTTCTGAGATAAAAGAGCATCTTATCTGTGATGGGATAAATTTGAGGTATACAAATTGGATATGGCATGGAGAAATTAGAAAGACTACACTGTCTGCAAATGAGAAGGTTGTGAATGAAGACTTTGGTGATAGAATTTCGGATATGTTTCGTGATATAAGGTCTGAATCCTCTACACAGTTCTCTTCCACCTTTGAAACTTTGTGTAGTGATGCAGAGACACCTTTATACCCGGGGTGCAAAGATGATTACACAAGATTGACAACCGTATTGAAACTGATGAATTTGAAGGCAAGAAATGGTTGGACCGATGCTAGTTTTACGGAATTGCTTGAATTGCTGAGTGATATTCTTCCTAAAGGAATTCACTTCCGAAACGAATGTATGAGGCAAAAAAGATTGTGTCCGATGGGTTTGGAATATGAGAAGATACATGCGTGTCCTAATGACTGCATATTATTCAGAAATGATTATGAAGGGTTGAATAAGTGCCCTAAATGTGGGACTTCAAGATACAAAATGAAGAAAGATGATGGTGATTATAATGAGATGACCAAAGGTTCTCCTTTGAAGGTTCTGTGGTATCTTCCAATAATACCACGATTTAAGCGTCTATTTGCTAATGCCACAGATGCAAAGAACTTGAGATGGCATTTCGATGAGAAAATATGTGATGAAAGCTTCGTCACCCGGCAGATTCTCCTCAATGGAAAACAATAGATCAAAAATTTCCTCAATTTGGTGGCGAGCCAAGAAACCTTCGGCTAGGGCTTTGTACGGATGGAATTAACCCATATGGTAATCTTAGTAGCACACACAGTGCTTGGCCAGTGCTCCTCGTAATTTACAACTTGCCTCCTTGGTTATGTATGAAAAGAAAGTATATCATGCTATCTTTGATGATCTCGGGGCCAAAACAACCGGGAAACGATATCGATGTGTATTTGGCACCTTTGATTGAGGATCTGAAGAAATTATGGGAGGAAGGTGTTGATGTGTTTGATGCATATAAACAAGAGACCTTCAATTTACGTGCCATGATCTTCACCACGATAAATGACTTTCCAGCATATGGAAATTTGTCAGGATACAGTGTTAAGGGGCATAAAGCATGCCCGATATGCGAAGAAGGCACCCACTATATGGCAGGAAGACAGTATACCTACCTTGGTCACAGAAGGTTTCTTAGTCGGTATCACCCTTACCGTAGATTGAAAAAGGCATTTAATGGCTCACAAGAATATGAAATGGCTCCAAGACCATTAACTGGAGAAGAAGTTTATCAGCGGGTGGAGGGAATTAATGTGGTCTTCGGTAAGAAGAAGAAGACTGCCGGTGAGAGAAATATATGGAAAAAAGATCTGTCTTTTTTGATCTTCCATATTGGCAAAGTCTTGATGTGAGGCATAGTCTAGATGTGATGCATGTGGAGAAGAATGTATGTGAGAGCCTTGTTGGTACACTTTTGCATATAAGTGGAAAGACTAAAGATGGAATCAATACAAGACGAGACTTAGTCGAAATTGGAATAAGAAATGTCCTTCACCCACAAGAAAGAGATGGTAAGAAGGCTTATTTACATCCAGCTGCGCACACATTATCAAAAGAAGAGAAAAGAAGTTTCTGTGGTTTTGTCAATAGTATTAAGGTGCCACAAGGTTATTCTTCTAATTTAAGCAAACTTGTTTCAATGCAAGATTTGAAGATAACGGGAATGAAGTCTCATGATTGTCATGTGTTGATGCAACAATTACTTCCACTTGCTATTCGAGGCATTATGAAAACCGATGTGAGAAATACTATTACAAGACTTTGTATGTTTTTTAGTGCCATTTGCAGCAAAGTCATTGATCCTGCTGAGTTGGATGAATTAGAAAATGAAGGTTATGTGATCCTCTCTCAATTGGAAATGCATTTTCCTCCATCATTTTTGATATTATGGTCCACTTGATAGCTCATCTTGTGCGAGAGATAAGACTTTGTGGCCCTGTGTGTTTAAGATGGATGTACCCTTTTGAGAGATACATGAAAATCCTAAAAGGGTACTCTAAGAATCCTTATCGGCCTGAGGCATCAATTGTTGAGATATGTAGCTGAGGAGGCAGTTGAGTTTTGTAACGCATATCTTGATAGGGTAAAGGCAGTTGGTCTTCCTCAATCTCGACATGATCAGGGGAGAAGAAGCAAGGGAACACGGGGTGTCATAGTGAGGTCTATGTCAAGAGAAGTTGTAATGCAGGCACATCTATACATTTTAAACAACACGGATGAAGTTTTGCCTTACTTAAATGCTCACAAGAATATGCTGAGGAACTTGAATCCAAGAAAGAGTGATATGCAACTAGCTAATGAACATAATAAGTCATTTGCAGAGTGGTTCAAGCGAGAAGTGTTAAAAGATGGCAATCCTTCTGAGACAATACAGAGGCTAGCTGCAGGGCCTTCTTTTGAGGTTTTGTGTTGGGGTGGATATGATATAAATGGTTATTCTTTTTACACAAAAACCCAAGACGATAAGAGTACTATGCAGAATAGTGGGGTGATGGTAGTAGCGGAAGCCATGCATTTTGCTAGTTCTAAAGACAGAAACCCAATGTTGGCGGCAATGTCCTATTATGGAATAATAGAAGAGATATGGGAGGTTAGTTATACCAAGTTTAAAGTTCCCGTCTTCAAATGTAAGTGGGTTAATAGTAATGCTGTGCAAGTGGATGAAGAATTTGGATTTGTTTCGGTCGATCTTGAGAGGTTTGGATATGGAGACGAGCCATTTATTTTGGCAAGTCAAGCAAAACAAGTGTTCTTCGTTCCCGATCTAGCAAAAAAGAAATTGTCTATCGTGCTTCAAGGTAAAAGGCAAGGAGTTGGTGGAGATGATGGTGACTTAGAGCTTAATCTTGATGAAACCCCGCCTTTCACAGCTACTCGACCTAAAGCAGTTGAATTAGATTTGGTAGATGATGACTATGCTGTTAGAGATGATCATTGTGAAGGAATTTGGGAGGATAATCGTTGTAAGCCTTAAATGAATTATTTGATTTTTTTTTTTGCTAAATATACTTAATAATATAATGTTTTATATTAACTTGATATTTCTTATTCTTACATTTATTAATTTGTTGTTCTTTAAACAGGAAATGGACGGATCCGGTCAACAGGGTTCTGGTGACGACAGCTCTTTTACTAGCCAGAGAAAGGGTAGAGGGCCAACCCATATGAGGCATTTAGCTTTACGTGATGAGACACACAGCCTATGAGGATTACAGTGGAGTTTGATGATGATCTGAAGCCTATAGGAAAGATTGGGGCTCAATTTACTAGTTATGTGGGTTATCTCGCACACAGTAAGATTAGCATTGACATTCTAACTGGAAGAAGGTGGACAAAGATTTGAAGAAAAACCTTTGGGAGGATATATTGGTATATTGTGCATTATTTTCTCTACTTGTTTCAATTATAGTTGCTTATTTACTTTATAACTCTATGCTATTATTGTATTGCAGCTGACATTTGATATTCCTGCCACTAAGCAAATGAGAGACCGTCTGTTGAAGCAACTTGATGAACGGTGGAGAGATTTTAAAGCCACGCTTATAAAACATTATATTCGTGGAAAAAGAAAGGGTGAGCATCCTAAGGGACGATATTCATTTATTAGTGAAGAGGTATGGGAGAGTTTTGTGAAGCAACGTGAAGACCCTGCATTTCAGGTTTGGTTTCTTCAAACTTAATTTTTAATCAGGTCATATTTTATTTAACTAAACTAATTTTGTCGATTTGGTTTCATTGTCATAGGCATTGAGTCAGAAGAACAAACAAATATCTAAGCAGAATGTGTACCCACATACCATGTCTCGTGCAGCGTATGGTGGGTTGGAAAGAAGTATGATGAAGGAACGACTGAAGAATGCACAGATGGCTGCTGCTTCAGATCCTACTGACTACATGCCACCTATTGAGCGTCCTCGCAAGAAAAATGAAAGGCGGCGAGGATTAAAAAGGGTCAATACATTACTCCACAATCTGCTACTGTTGCTGAGAGGATTGTAAGTAATATTTAAGAATTATGCTTCATTAATTGTTTTTTTCAATTATCTTAAATTGAATTTGTTGCTTTAATGATACAGGATACACTTGAGGAGCAATTATCTCAAGGTACATTCATCCCTCAAGGACGGATAGATATCTTGGCCACTGTTATTGGAAAGGCTGACCATCCCGGAAGAGTCAGAGGGACCCCTAAAGGGATTGGTATTAAAGAATTTTTTGGCTCTTCTTTACGAAGAAACACTAGATCATCCTCCGCTAACATGGCATCTAAAGAGAAGCTCGACCAACGACTACAGGAAGAAACAGAGAGAGTTCGAGCTGAACTAAGTCAACAACACATGGTAGAGATGCAAAAGATACGTGACGAATTCGATGCCAAGTTTCAACAGACTCTGATGATGATGGATACGAACGGATTCTAGATGCCCCGAGTATCTGAACTTTCCCAAGTAATAATTACACATCTTTTTAGATCTTCTAAAGATTCATTTGATCCATTTAAACTTATTTAATGTTTCTTAACTAATTTTATATTATGTTTCAGGGTTCACTTGTGATAAAAAGCGGAAAGGGCAGTAATAATCAGACACAGCCACTGACAGTGTTTGACCCTGACCCTAGCCCTGACCCTGTCGAAGACAATGGGATGCCGTGTTCTCTCTATGTGGATTATGAAAATTCACCTATTCATGTTGCTAGTGGTCGAGCATTCATGGGCACAACGATTCACGGCAACAAAATTCCGAGCAATCAAGCAAGGGTGACAGTGGAGAGAATTGTTCGTGGTCAGGGGGTACACCAGTGCCCAATCCTACTGATGAGGTTCGACTCTTGGCCCAAGCTAAAGGACATTTCATTTTGTGGCCAAAGAGACTTATTGCAAAGCCAATGGTGAAAAAAGCGACAGCCAAGAAGGCCACAACGAGCGCATCATCAGATCCTGTACTCTTGCCTCTTCCTGGTGATGTTACGCTTATGTATTCCAGTTTGGAGGTTCTTCATTCCATAGTGCCAAACATGGATAAGCCTGTGACTTTCAAGATGCCGTTGGGGGTTGTGGGTTCAGATATAACATACGACTTCACCATTGACAAGAGGGATCTCGTTCAGTTCCTCAACTTTGAAGAGCTTAATATAGCCTTCATGCAGCTCGCTATTTTGTAAGTTACAATATCATTTTCTTATTACATATTATACTTCATGCATGTCCTAATGTTTTTTACTTGAACAACAGGCACTTTAATCAAATTTGTCGAAACGGAGGACTTGAAGGAACATATGGCTTTATGTGTCCTCAAAGGGTGCAGAAAGAATTTAATACTGTGGAAGCAAGGTCAATCTACATTATGACCACAATGACTCAGACCAGAAAACTAATATTTTGCACCTTACGTGGAAGGGTAAGTGTATTATTATATTTGAGATATACAAGTTATATGTGTTGAGTTATAATTAACATGGTTTGCCTTTTGCAGTTATCATTAGACTCTAATTGTTTGTGCCCCTTTTGACAACAAAATTTACTGGTTCAATTCACTCTGTGGAAGTCCATCCGAAGAAACGAAAGATGTCATCGACACATTAGTTTTGATTTATATATTTATTACTTGTGAAGTTTATACAAGCATACTCTAATATTATTTTCTCTTATAATGTTGATAGGGTTTTTCATACTTTTAATGTTGTGGCGATTAAACAAAATAGATAAGCACCAACATGGATTCTTTCACAGGTATATGTAGTTTTGAACTAACTTTTAAACATTTTTGGATGAATTAAAGTTAATGTTTATAATCAATAGTGTCTAATATTCAATTTTATATCTTATTTTTTTAGTACCGTTGTCAACAAGAACATGTTGAGTGTGGATATTATGTCATCCGCTACATGAATGACATAATTGAGACAGGAACGACTGAGAAATGAGACGAGGTAAAGATGAGTTACGTTACATGACGTTCTTCAATTCATTTCACATTTTTGATTAAGTTTACTATGTTATTTTTTATTAACAGATATTTCAAAATACTGCGCCATATCTCATGGATGATATCAACTTGATAAGGGACACTTTGTCAACAACATTGGTAGAAACTATTGAAATTTAGCTTTCAAATAGATAGGTTATTTCTCAAAAAATTCATTGTTAGATGTTTTCTCTCGATTCCCTCTTATATGTACATGTTCATGATTTCCATTGTATAGAGAAGTAGTTACTTCTATTTCAGAATTATTGGACTTAGCCAATACGTGTTCTTTGGTCTTAATTAACCACTTAGTTCTATGTGATATATATTAACTAGCTAATTGATCTTGTTCTGCGTGATCTACACTGCCTACATTTATTTGGAACTATAAATTGCAGAGTGGTAAAAATGAAAATCAAGCAGAATTTAAAAAAAAAAAAAAATTTTTAACGGCGGTTATATATATAACCGCCGTTAAAAGTATATTCCACGGCGGCTTATAAAAAAACCGCCGTTGAAAGTATATTTTCCATGGCGGTTTTTGTATAAACCGCCGTGGAAAATCAATTTTCCACGGCGGTTTTGAACCGCCGTGTTTTCTTTACCTTTGAACGTCACCTTTATCAACTCCGCCTTCAAAACCGCCGTAAAAAGCCAATATTAACCGCCGTGAAAAGCCTTTTTTCTGGTAGTGCTAAGCTACCTTCCGTCTGCTCTCCTATGTCGGTACCGTGCTCCAAGTTATTTCTTGGTGTGTTGGGACACCAGTTGGATCCTATTATTACAAGTGTGTATATATATAGCGAGTTAAAACTATGGTTAACCCATAACTGACTAAATCTCTCTATAGCCCCCACTCAGGCACACTTCCCTCTCTTAATGTGGTTGGTCATCTCATACCAAAATTCCTGTATATTAATCTTCATATGTCTAAGGGTCTCTAAAGTCTCTCCTACATTCGCGTTGCCCTTAACTTCATAGTCCACTATAATTTAGTTTAGGGAATAAAATTCGGCTTAGTTACTAATCATCATTCAGATGCCCTTGGATCATAAATAGCAATATAGAACATTAGCTTGATATTTAGAGACATTTGCAAAGAATTTCAAATCAGTCCCTAAGCTTTAATTCATTCTTTATGCATTTCTTACACATGGATACTTACATCAACGGGGACACTTACATGTATTTGACTCATGTTCCTTTATCCACAAAAATTCCCACGCTCTTCTGCCTTAGCTCATAAGTCGTGAGGCCACACATATATTTAAATATGAAATTTCTGTATTTTCAAAAGTCATTTCCATCCCACAACTCTAAGTAGCACACATAAGAAACTAAATACACACACAAGTATGTACTTGTTTTCAGTTAACTAGATTAGCATTTCATCAATCCCAAGGGTTCCAATTCGAAGTTTAGCTTCAATTTTTCACTTTAACCATTATAAAACAGTTCCTAGCATTTAACGTTAGTGACAGGCAGAACAAGTCTATATCAATTGCAAGTACATAAGAATTATAAAGAAAATACATTAAAACTTCACAAACTGATAGATGGTTCAAAAATGCAGACTATAAGATAGATATCCTTACCAAATTGATGGATACTGACGAAAATTTTTTTAAGAGAAATCAGATAACTAATAACAGTAACTCTCCAACGAATCAATATAAAATAGTCACTTTAAACCCACCATAATTTCCAAAAGAAACCCTCATTTAACCTGCGATTGCAACTCTCTCTAAAATGTAAAAATAGCCAGAGTGGTCATCACCTTTGAAGGACAAAATTAATTAGATGTGAATCCAACGCTCTCCTCAAGCCACTGGCGGACATATTTCTCTTGCTCTGAAACCAACATAGTCTCTGATTAATACAATATGAATGGCATCAGTCTGGTTATTAATCGCACAAAATACTGTTTTTTTTTTTTTCAAAAAAAATATCATAGACTATATTAGAAGAGAAAAAGATGAATACAAGAAGACGAAGAGCAAGATGAACGAACATACGAAGCAGATTAAACCAAAATCCACAACTGATAACCATGGCCTCCTAATCAGACTCATGACTTCGCAGACCGAAAAAGAAGTCAAAATCATCAACAAAAAGAAATTATGCGAGCAATGTGATTCTAGTGGAATAGGCAAAATCAGAAAATTATGCGGACTTTGAAATTCAAAACTAGGAAGTTCCAAAGAAATTCCCCCCCCCCATCAGTCCGTATACAGAAATCCAAAGAAGCACAAATCAATTCATCTTCAAGCTTCATACTATTATCCACTATCTTCATTCAAAAAGGACCTCAATCACAGTAAATATTACCGTCCATCCAGAAACCACAAAAAAGAAGATGCTAAAAGTCGACACACTTGAAGAAATAAAATAAATAAATACAGGAGTGTAGCGGAACTTCCACCTAGGAGGTTCATCGAAGGCATTAGCGGACCTATTATCGGCGGAATAAGAGGAGGAGGCAGAGATCGGGGTCCAGCGGCGGAGGCGGAGCCGTTGGTGGAGTTAGAATGGGATCGGCGAGAGTTATGAGAGGAAACGGAGTATGGAGGGGGGAAACGTAACCCACTTCTTCCTTCTTCCAGTTGCGAACGGGGCCTAGTGAAGATAGTGAGTGCCGTGGCAGGAAGATATTCTGCCCAACCCAGAACCCGCCTCCATGTGTGGCGGTGAAGGGAGAGGAAGCGGAGAAGGGAGGTTTTGGCGAGGTTGACGCGAAGGCAATGGGAGGGGAAGTTGAAGTGAGAATAAGATGAGTGGATGCCAGCTAGGATTAAATTAAAAATGAGTTGGTCATTATCATTGGTCAGAACACAGATGACGCGGTGCACCCGGCGTATACAAGAATTTCTCCTGTTTTATGGGCTAGAGCATTGATAGCCCAACAAACCAAACTGGAGTAGCGTTGTAAAGTATGCTCCGAGAGAGAAAACTTAGTGTTAATTAAAGACTTGAAATATCATTATATAAGTTAATAACGAATGAAGAAAATGCAGGATAATATCAGCAAAATATATACTACCTCCGGTCCTTAATATAAAACCTTGTTTGACTTTTATTTTGGTCCTAAATATAAAACTTCAATCCACTTTGTCTCTCATATTTATGTATTTTTTTTCAAGATCGTCATTCTAACAATAATAGTTCTAGCCAATATACTTGATTAGTAAAGATATTTTAGGAAAGATAATATCTATTTATTACAAATAACTAATTTATCTTTTTTTAATCCTCTCAAATTAGTCAATTAGCTCTTATAAATTAGACCGGAGGCAGTATATACAAGCTGACACAAGAGTGTACGACTTGGGGTTTAAAACTACGTTCCAGATTCAGTAATATAAAAGATAAAAAGCTCTTTTACGCACAAAATTTCTTATATTAGATTTAGTTTTTAGTCTCATATTAGAGACATGAGGTAGTACTTACCTGACAAAATCACTTAAAAATAAACTAATCCAATCACCCTTTAAGAGTTTTAATTATTATCATCCGTCAAATAGAAATATATTAGTCCGGAGGGAAAGAGATCATGTTAGAGTGTCTCCTTTCAGACCATCAAGCTTAGTCTAAATTAGCCATATTTCCACCATGCAACCTTTATTCCTCAAAATGAAATAATGAAAAATTATTTATTATTATTATAAAAAAGGAAAATCCCATATATATCACAATTCACCTTTCTGCGTAATAAGTGGTAAATAAATTCCAAAACAAATTGATATTACTATCTCTGATCATCTGAAGAAATTCCCAGTATTACCACCATAACCAACTTGAAAACGCTCCACTTCTCTCAGTCTCACTTCTCTAGCTATATCTTCCCTGCTAGCAGACTCTGAATATCGTGCTTTTTTTCGCAATGGAATATCTTACCCTTCCAAACATATGGACGTCTACCGAAGGCATATTCGTCAAACCACATGGCTGCTAATTTCTTGGCCAAATAAAAAAAAAAAAAAAAGCACCTGGAAAATTTTTTTATTTTTTGAAAACACACCCACACATGTGGCAAGCTTCCACTTTATGGCCCTTCATGGAGGTAGCATTGCTTGTTTTTCCAAGGACGATTATATGGCGCCACTTTTGGCATTTATCACCGTCAATGCATGCCTACTACCCGCCCAAAACTTTGTCTATTAGATTAACATGAATATAAAGCTTAAATGACCGCGAACTTTCTTAGTGAAATACTCCTTCGGTCCTAAATATAAAACCCTTATACACACCAGCATAGGGTCTTATATTTAGGACCGTTGGAGTAATACCAACTACAAAGAAATTGCATATCAAGAGGATCCTAGAATGTTAGGAAAAGCACAATGAGCAATTTCTAACCTTCGACAAGGATATATTGAAATTCATGCATTTTTTTAACATAAAATCGTTTCTCTTCAACTCCAGCTATATTCTTCCTATAGATACCCGGATGAATATTAGTCACAACCGTCAAGTCGGCCAAGTTTCTTCCCTCCTTCAGAAAAAATGAAAATGATATTAAGATCACTGTCCGATGGCATCCAAGAAGACCAAAAGGCTTGTTTAAAATAATTTGTCAACAATGCAATTATTTGGTGGATAAAGCATAATAATATTGTGAGGCCTGTAATATCCAAAATTTTATGGATTTAAGTAAAGCATGATGAAGGAGAAAATTTTTAGAGATATTATAGAGATTAAGACCCTTAAAATATGGTCTAAATAATTATAAAAGTTGATTTCAGGAATTTAGGACCTATTTTCTTGGAATATTCAAGGAAAAATAGTTAGAGGATAATTTTTGAGCTGAGATTTTTAGGATAATTATTTTATGGACTAAAGAATCTAATGGAAGAAGAAAATTCATATAAAATATCCAGGTTTGATTTCTGGAATTATTTGATTATCTTAGAAAAATAGAGAAGGATCAGGTTGAAGGAAAATAAAGACCAAAGGGTATGATAGTCATTTCATGTCCCTTGTCCCTTTTGATCTGCCAAAAACACTTTTGCCCTTCTCATTTTCCTCTGCTAACGACTTGAATGAAAAGGAGAAGGAGCAAAGAGAGCTTGAAAGGGCGAGAGGAAGACGAGCCATCACGAGCTACTGGAAAAGAACCAGTGATGTTTTTCTTGCATGTAAGTGTGCTTTCTGACTAAGGTGAGTCCTTCAGTCCTTCGGTCCTTCGTCTATCCTTGTTTTCTTTGATTGGGACTATACGGGAGTGAAAAAAGCATATGAAAATCTAGCCCTAGGGAGAGAAATTCAAGAATTGCATGAAAGCTTTGATCAAAGCATAAATTGGGAGTTGTGTGAGTGTTCCTGCACTTGTATGATGCTATTTGTGCTGATTTTTCTCTGGTTCCTGATTGTCAAAACAAGGGATAGGTGATTCAGGGAGTTAGCTTCAGGCTCTTCCTTTCTTTGGGTGTAATGTTGAATGTTGATGGAATTGAAGAGAGCTTTGTGACCCACCTATATATGAAATTGCTTTTGGGTTGGTTCTATTTTAATGACAATTTTGAAGACGTTTTGAGCCCAATATCTCCATTCTTTTAAGTTGATAGCATGGGTTCCATATTCAAAAGGCGAATGAAAATTAAATAGTATGATTATGAAGATTAACTAATGCTACATGATATTTTGGAGTGAAGGCCGTGAGGTTTAATGGAAAAGGGAGTTGTTATTGTTTTGTTTTGGTTAAATGGTCTTAACTGCTGGATAGGAAATGGGCAAAATGAGTTTGAATTTTCGAATGCTACAGATTGGAAAGTGATTATTCTTTAAATCTGGAATTTTAATAGGAGGAGGAATTGTTGAGTTTGGGAACCAAAATTTGATTTGAAGTTTAATGTTTTGTGTTCTCAAATGCTGAATATTATTCTAGTTAGTGGACCAACCTTACGGTGAACGATGATTAAACTTTATTACAGTAAAATGAAAATCTTAGAGGGGCAAAAGATATGCATATATTGCGAAATGGAGGAAAGTGATAGTGGCTGTGATGTTAATGTTGGGATGTGGCAGCTGAAACTAAATCACTTGGCAATGATTTAATTATGTATAAATGGGGAAGTATTTTCGGTCAAGTAGGTCCAAGAGGAAATGTAATCTTAAACTAGGGGACATTAAAATAGGGGATAGGATGATGTTGGTGAAGCTGGAATTTTATAAAAGTATGAAAGAAATGTTGTTGGTATTACAAATTTTAAGGACCTTGAATATTCAAGGTTGCTGAATTATTTTTGAAGACTTGGAAAAAATGATCTAGATATATATATAAATATGAATCTGCCCTTGCCTATATAATTTATAGGATTTGATATTTGTTCGAATCCATTAAGAAAGGAGCCAAGAAGGAAACAAGTGGAAGGGAGTACCGAAAAGAAGAAGAAGCAAAAAGTAGTAACTCTTTTCCTTTAATGTACTTGTGCATTGATTGCCACATGCTTGGATGTACCTTTATGTTGATTGTGCATGAGAACATGTAAGTTGCCTTTGCATGATAATATTTGTCATGACAATATGTGCTGGTTTCCATTTATTTTGGAATGTAGACGTGATATATAGCAACTGGTTATATGAGTGTATGGTGTATGTGCATCATTGATTTTATTTAGATGCAAGGTGTTGTTCTCTTTGGCCTATGTAGCATGTTATTGTGATCTTGTATGATTACTTGAAGGAAATTTGTTACTACTAATATTCTCTAGAATCTCACCCCTTCTTTCATGTAATACAGCAAGAGCAAATACTCCTAAGGGTAGGGGAGTAGTGATTAGTGGAGCTTAAAGGTGTAGAAAGCTGAAGATCTTTAATATACGTATATATATATATATATATTGCTTGAAATGCATCCTTTTGGAGTGAAGATATAATGTATATCTATTTTGATATGTAAATATTTCTCCATAAGGAGGTGGCTAAGGCGGATAAACTATAACTGCTATTGAAGGAAATGATCAATATTTTGATATATATATCTATATAGTACTTATTTTGCCTAAAATTATGTGTGTCTGTATATGTATCCCGTTGTATGAGCCAATGGCCAAGATATTGAAGGTTAAACCCTACTGGCTATAGTTGACTTAATACAAGATTCAAATGGCTGGATGGAAAAAGCATGGGTTTGATGGTTGAATGTGAACCATCAGTCTTAAACAGTTTTTAATGTTTTTGTAAAAAGGTTAAATTGGATACTTGAACCACTAGATAGGTTACTTTGAAAGTGAGTTTTTGAAAAGTCTAAAACTTTTCAAAAAATCCCGTTCCTTGAACAAGATTAGACCTTGTGTTTGGGAATTATGAAAAAAAGAAAAAAAAATTGTTTTTCCCAAGATGGAAACCTGACTTTTAATGGTTCGAAATTAAATAAAATAACTCTACTGGTATACAAGGAATGAGTATTACAAGGTCTATGTGACCGACCCCATCGTCAAATAAAGCTTGTTGTTGTTGTAATTATTTAATCGAACTTTAATACTCAAGGGAAGTTGATGAATAAAAAAATCTTGATTCTGCTTCTTTAAAAATAAGAGGTAAACAGGAAATTCTAAAGTGTGTGTGATAACCTACAACACTGAAATCATCTCTATTTAAACAATTTGGACCAAAAAAAGAAAAACCTCTACTTCAACAATGAGTTACAATAAAACTGCTTACACCAGAGCTCACCTATCCATTTTAAAATTTAGCCAAAGACCAATTACAAGGTGCTGGCCCCACAGAGAACTGCTTTCTGTTTAGAGCAGTTTCTCTTGAAAGTATTAAACTGACATCCAGGCCCCTGATCTTAAGAGGAAACAGAACAAAAATGACACGGAAGGAAATGGGAACTAGAGGGTAATCACTTTGAACTGTAGTCTGAGATCATCAAAACTATCAAAAACCGCAGCAGCTTGGTCATTACCACTCTCATCATCTTCACCTTAACAAAAGGAACTGTTCAGTAGCCACAATTTCCTGCCTCAATTTCTCTTCAACAATGCAATACAGAAGGTTTAATGTAAGTTGTCTTCAATCCATTATTATAAGAATACTTTTAGTGTGAATGACAAACTCAATTATTTTTATATATTTTGATATCTTTTATATGGGTTTTGTCAACTTAATCAGTCTTTTTAGCCTTAATTGATTATTAATTGATTTAATATATTTTATTTTGAATAAATATTTTATAGGGGCAAAATTGTCATATTTTGGTTTAATTGTGACTATTTGGTTTTTGAGGACAATTAATGCTAGCTTATTCTTGAATTTTGTTTGCAGGTTTTTGGAAGATTTAAAAATAATAATAATAATGAAAATGAAAATTAAAAAAAAAAGAAAAAATATAATAATAAAATAATTTTTAAAAAAAGGGAGCAAAACGTTGCGTTTTGCTCCCCCCACTAATAACCTATTATTATCATCTAAAGAGGGCGGAAGACGCAACATGGAGGAAGCACTATTCATCAACTTCAAGTGGCGCCGTTGCCGAGGAGCCAAGAAATTGGTTCCCTAGTAATTAAGTGTCAAGTAGCCTTGATTGGGGTTCATTTGTTGAGCCTTTTTAGTTTTTATTTTTGTTAGTTTTTGCATTTTCTTTAGTAGTTTGCATTTGTTTCTTTTGATTTTTCATAGCATTTCTTTCCTTTGCATAGAAAATTTCTCAAAAACACAACTAAATATCTTGATTTTTCATTCATTGCATTTTTCATTCTCATACACATACACTTGCATTGCATTGCATTCATCTGTTTTCTTTTGCTTAATTGCTTCTGGTTGATTGATTGTTTATGCCAAGAAAGGGTAGGTCTAAAACCCTAGTTCCTTCCAATCTTGAGCTTCAAAGTTCTTTAAGGGAAGTTAGACAAGACCAAAGGGTAGAAAGGACTAGTAAGGTTGAACTAGACAATTTAACTGATCTAGATTTGGTGGTTGAACTAGGTGACATAATTGAAACAGTTAATAATCCTAATGGTAACAACAATGGTGGTAATGACAGAGGGGGCAATGGACATAATGGGGAACATGATAGAGTAGGAGAGAATAATGGAGGTAACCCTAGAAGAAGAACCATTAGGGAAACCACTACTTCTGATGCAAATTATGATCCTTTTAATGTTGCATGCCCTAATGTTGATGTCAATTTTGAGATTAAAGGTCCACTGCTTAATTCTTTGCCTAAATTCTATGGTTTGACAGGTGAGGACCCGTAGAATCATCTGAAATCTCCCTCTATGGTATGTGCTAGCATGAAGCCGGTTGGAGCTAATCTGGATGAGGTTCTTTGGAAGGTATTCCACTTGTCTCTGGAGGGCAAAGTGCGAGAATGGTACATGAGCTTGCCTAAGCATATGGCAGATGCCTACCATAATTGGAACAACCTCAGAAAAGCATTCTTGGAGAAGTATTTCCCTGCTTCCTGGACTTCCACATTGAGAAAAGAGATCTACTCTGCGAAGCAAGACTATGATGAGTCACTTTATGACTATTGGAACCGTTTTCAGGACTTGCTTTCTAGATGTCCACACCATCAGATTCCAGATGAGCAGTTAGTCCAATACTTTTATGATGAACTTAAGACCCAAGATAAGGGGATGTTGGATGCTGCTTCTGGGGGTTCTCTCATTGATTTAACTGTTGAGGAGGCATGGGAACTTATCAAGAAAATGGCATTGAACCATCAACAGTATAGCATCAGGGAGTCTAAAAATATCAATGCAATGCATGCTAATCCTTCTTCAGTCCACATTCCTCAATTGGACACATTCACTTCTCAAATTGCTGCGTTGACTGCACAGTTGAATAAGCTTGCATCTCATACTCCCCCTACTGACACTTGGAATCCTAATTCCATGGAGATGACTGCACCTAGTTGTGAGCATTGTAACTCTGTTATGCATATCTCTACTGCTTGCCCTCATAGATATGAGGAAGTTTCCGCCATGTATCAAGGAAGGGCCAATCAATCTAAGCAATGGAACCCATACTCAAACACATATAATGAAGGATGGAAAGCTCATCCAAATTTCCGATGGGGAGGAGGTGACAATAGGCAAGTTCAAGAGGGGTTTCAAGGGAATATGGTTCCTCAAGGGCAATCTTACTATGGAGGGTTACAAGGAGAATCTTCTAGAGCCATGTCTACCCCACAGCAATCACAATCTAAGGATGATGAGCAGTTCTCTCGAATACTCAGGGGCATTGAGGCAATGACTGAGCACATATCTAAGTCTGAAGCTAAATCTAAAGCTAGATTTGCAACCCTAGAGAATAGGATGGAGCAATGGGAAACTAGAATCTCTAATTTGACTTCTTATGTCACTAAGTTGTCAAATGGTGTGAGTGAACAGCAAGCTAAGGCTAGTGGTTCAATGCCTTCCAACACGGTGATAAATCCTAAATCTTTGAATGCAATTACATTGAGAAACGGTAAGGAAATTGGTGCTAAGACAGTGCAATTCAAAGATGATGAAGAGGGTGAAGAACCGGTTGACGAAGAGATAGAAGTTGAGTCTCCTCCTTCTAAAACCACTCAAGACATTCCCAAGGCCACTCAAGAGACCTCTATTCAATCCAAAGAGCCAATAGAGAAAGGATCACCTCCCAAAGGTGATGAGGTAAACATTTCTGACTTGCCTTTTCCTCATTCATATCTCATGAGTAAGAAAGTTGTTGAAAAGAAAGATAATGATGAGCTTTTTGAAATGTTTAGCAAACTTGAGGTTAATGTGCCATTACTTGATTTGATTAAAAAGATGCCTAAGTGTGCTAAGTTTCTGAAAGATCTATGTACAAACAAGAGGAAGTATAAGCATAGTGAGAGAATCCAACTGGGGTCTAGTGTTAGTGCTATCTTCAAGCCACAGCTACCTATTAAGTGTAAAGACCCGGGTTCCTACACTATTCCCTGTACCATAGGCAAAACAAACATTTCACATGCCTTACTAGACTTAGGTGCAGCCATAAATGTTATGCCTACCTCTATCTATGAGAGTTTGGGTATTTATGCCTTGAAAGACACCAGTGTTGTGCTAGGTCTAGCTGATAGGACTGTGAGACATCCTAAGGGCTTTCTTGAGGACGTTCTTGTACAAGTGAAGGGTCTTGTGTTCCCAGCTAATTTTTATGTGTTAGATATGACTGATGAGATTAAAGCTGATAGCACTTTGATTCTAGGAAGACCTTTTCTTAGAACAGCCCAAACCATAATTAATGTGAAAGACGGGGTCATTACCATGGGCTTTGGGGACCAACAGATTACCTTCAATATTTCTGATGTTATGAGTCAAGGTTATGCATATTGCTCTTACTTGGGTGTTAATTTGATTGATTGTGCTGTTAATGATGTTGATGATTTGCATGAATCTGAGATGCATGAACATGACTGGTATGGTGAGATTGTTAAGCATGATGATGCATTTACTTGTTTATCTACCCCTCATTCTTCTTCTTTTTGCTCATGTTATGGTGACGTGGTGTGTGTTAACTGTTTAGAAGTTGATCACCTCCTTTCCATCTCTCATGATTTTGATGCATCATCTTGTCTTAACTGTGATTCTGCCTTGAACATTACACTTGATGATAGCCTTAAGAAAGGCAAGTTTGTTGATTCTGCAGGTACTGATGATAAAGGAGTTGTTACACAAGCTACACCGGTAGCTTCTCCTTTGAGTGGTGCTGGAACATTAGAAGAGGCTAGCAGCAAGCTTGCTACTGACTTAGTCACTTCTAATCCCACTCTTTCTTGTGATTTACTTGATGTTTCTATTGATAAAATTGATACTAATCCTTCTTTTTATAGGTCATCCAAGAATGGCACTGAGTTGGGAAGTGGAAGACATACACATCATGATGAGCTTATATCTCCTTCCCCAAGCCATATGGACATGCCGCTTGCATTGAATGCACTTGACATAAAAGATTTGGTTCCTTCTATTGTGCAACCTCCTGATTTAGAATTGAAACCCCTCCCCCCTAATTTGAAATATGTCTTTCTTGCTGTTGATTCTAAATTGCCTATTATTATTTCCAGTTCTTTGAGTAGTTCTGAAGAAGAAAGATTGATTTCTGTATTGAAGAGTCATAAAGGGGCTATAGGATGGTCTTTAGGGGATATTTCAGGGATTAATCCCTCGGTTTGCACACACAGGATCCTTTTGAATGAAAGGTCCAAGCCAATTAGGCAACCATAGAGAAGATTGAATCCTCTCATTCTGGATGTGGTTAAGAAGGAAGTCTCAAAGTTGTTGAGTGCCGGGATCATCTATCCCATATCAGACAGTGAGTGGGTAAGTCTGGTACAAGTAGTGCCAAAGAAGAGCGGTATCACAGTAGTGACAAATGAAAATGATGAACTGATTCCAACTAGGGTTCAAAATGCTTGGAGAGTGTGTATAGATTATAGGAAGTTGAATGATGCTACGAGAAAGGACCACTTTCCATTACCTTTTATAGATCAGATGTTGGAAAGAATTTCAGGAAAGTCTCACTATTGTTTTCTTGACGGTTTTTCTGGCTATTTTCAAGTGCCTATCGCTCCTGAAGATCAGGACAAGACTACCTTTACATGCCCTTTTGGTACCTTTGCTTATCGAAGGATGCCATTTGGGTTGTGTAACGCTCCAGGTACCTTTCAAAGGTGCATGATGGCGATATTTAGTGATCTTCTAGAGCAAAACATGGAAGTTTTTATGGATGACTTCACTGTTTATGGTGAGAGTTTTGATGAGTGCTTGAATAGTCTAGAGCAGGCTCTTGAGAGGAGTATCGATAAGAAATTGGTTTTAAACTTTGAAAAGTGTTAGTTCATGGTTGATAAAGGGATAGTCTTAGGTCACCTCATCTCTCAAAAGGGGATTGAGGTTGATAGGGCCAAAATTGAAGTTATTTCATCCCTTGCTTATCCTACTTGTTTAAAGGATTTGAGGTCTTTCTTAGGGCATACAGGTTTCTATCGGCGCTTTATTAAGGATTTTAGTAAAGTTGCTCTGCCTCTTTCTACCTTATTGAAAAAGGATACTGAATTTAAATTTGATGATAAGTGTAGACATGCTTTTGACACTTTAAAATCTATGCTTGTTTCACCTCCTATTCTCACTGCACCTAACTAGAATTTACATTTTGAGTTGTCTTGTGATGCTTCTAACTTTGCAGTAGGTGCCATGCTTGGACAGAAGGAGGAGAAACAGTCTAGACTCATAGCATATGCCTCCAAGATGCTTGATTCCGCTCAAGTGAATTATACCACTACGAAGAAGGAACTGTTTGCTATTATTTTTGCTTTGGATAAGTTTAGACAGTATCTTATAAACTATCAAGTGGTTGTCTTTACAGATCATACAGCGGTTCGATACCTATTTAAGAAGCCTCAGTCTAAACCTAGACTGCTGAGATGGGCTTTGCTACTACAGGAGTTTGATATCGAGATTAGAGATAGAGCCGAAGCGGAGAATCATGTAGCTGACCACCTTAGTCGGTTACCTGAAGGCACACAGGGAGTTGACTCTTCATATCTTGTTATTGACTCATTTCCTGATTCTACACTTTTTGCCTTGGCTGTTCATGAGCCTTGGTACTCTAATATAGTTAATTATCTTGTCACTGACCTTGTACCTCCTTCTATGTCTAAATTTCAGATAGATAAGCTGAAGAGGGAGGCAAGATACTATATCTGGGATGCTCCAATCCTGTAGAAGCAATGCAGTGACCATATCATCAGACGCTGTGTTCCACATTCTTTATCTTGTGGGGGCATTTTAGTGCTAATAGGATTGCTAGGAAGGTTTTATAGAGTGTGGTTTTTATTGGCTTTCTCTATTTAAGGACGTTTATTCTTTCTGCAAGTCTTGTGATAAGTGTCAGAGGTTTGGGAGTTTGAGAAGGAAGCATGAGATGGCTCTATGACCTATGCATTTTTGTGAAATCTTTGATGTGTGGGGCATGGACTTTATGGGTCCCTTCCCTTCGTCTTTTGGGTTTTCATACATATTACTTGCAGTAGATTATGTGTCTCGATGGGTAGAGGCAGTGCCAACTAGGAAAGATGATGCTTCTACTGTTGTCAAGTTTTTACGTTCTCATATCTTTTGCAGGTATGGCATTCCAAGAGCAATCATCAGTGACCAAGGAACACACTTCTACAACAGGACCATCAAGTCTCTATTGGCTAAACATGGAGTCAATCACAAGCTGGCCACTCCTTATCACCCTCAGACGAATGGGTTAGCTGAAGTCTCTAACCAGGAAGTGAAACGAATACTTGAGAAGATTGTGAAACCATCCCGTAAGGATTGGAGTGAAAGGCTTGAGGAAGCTCTTTGGGCTTACAGGACTGCCTACAAGACCCCTATAGGCATGTCCCCCTTCTGGTTGCTCTATGGCAAGGCTTGCCATCTACCTATGGAGATCAAGCACAAAGCTTATTGGGCAATCAAGGCATGTGATGCAGATCTTGAATCTTCACTAGTCAATCGGAAGATGCAACTCCAAGAACTTGAAGAAATGAGACTTGAATCCTATGACAATGCCAGAATCTACAAAGACAAGCTAAAAATGATTCATGACAAACAGATTCTGAGGAAGCAGTTTTATGAAGTTGACAAGGTTCTGAAGTTTAAAGCCCGGTTGAAGTTGATGCCCGGGAAGTTAGTCACCAAGTGGGAAGGTCCGTTTAGAGTTACTAAAGTATATCCCTTTGGCACGGTAGAGCTCGTAGATGAGGAGACCGGTATAACTTCACAAGTCAACGGCCATCTGCTAAAGCACTACCATGAGGATCAAAAACCCCCTTGATCACCCGGTTGTTCCCTTCCACCCTACTCTTTTACTTTCTGTTGTATTGCTGGTGATATCTGTTTGCTGAGATAGTTAGGAGTAAGTGTGGGGGAGGGAACTTTTCCAGTAGTTGTAGTTGTAGCTGTTTATTTCTGTTTAGTAGTTGTGTGTCTTGTTTCCTCTTGATTCAGCTATCTCTTCTGATCACTTGGTTTATACTTGTCTATTTTCATTTCACATTATCTTATCCTACCTCTCCCTTCTCTCTTCCTCGTGATAGTGATGTGTTGTGCTTCGATTTCAAATCGGACTTCACAACTTCCACTTCTCCCGAGAGTTTAGGTTAAGATAATGTTGTTTTTCTTACATTGAGGACAATGTATTGATCAAGTGCGGGGGAGGGATTATTGTTGAGTTGTTGAGCTGTTTTGAAAAAAAAAAATTGCCTTTGGATTTGCTCATGTTTCCTAAGTATTGCTGCTATAATTGCTCTCTTCTTTGCCTTATTGGTTGATTTCTGAATTGCATCGCATGATTTGAGAGTGATTCTTGCTTGGGAATTTTGCTGCTAGTTTCTATGTCCTCCTATTTTCATTCGCCTTAGTGTTCTGCACTGTTGTATGGGTGAGTTGCTGTTTCTCTCTGTTGTTGAATTTTGACTTTTGTAATCCTTGGGCATCTCTTTTAAAATCCTTTTGCACAATGCTTGTGAATATTGCACGGCTAAGTTTGATTGCATTTGAATTGAGTGATTTCTGTTCTTAGTTGATTAGCATAGTAGAATGCCTTTAGTGCAATGTTATTAACCTTGTTTCATAGCTTGATCCTTAAGGAGGAAACATCTTGGAGAAAGCCTTGATGGAAGGATTATTGAGCTATATATTTTCTCATCTTGTGTGATTTTCATCTAGTTTTGGTTAACCACTAGAACTTGTCTAGATTCTTTTTCAAAGCTGCATTAATACCTAGGTTTGTGAAGATGATAGGGGCATTCATTTCTAAACCTTTACCCAAACATAAACCACTTCATTTAACCTTTGTTCACCCCTTTGAGCCTTCACTTTCATTCCATTCATTTTTTTTAAGCAAGTGTTTTGCATGAGTTACATTTGGTTTTTCATTTTGAAAAGTACATCATTAATGTCTATATCTTTGCCTTCTTGGGTTTGGATGCCAAAGAAAAAGAAAAAAAAAAGCAAAAAAAAAAAGAGAGATAGAAAAAGGCAAGAAAGAGAAGAAAATGTTTAGAAAAAGCCAAAAAAAGAAAGTTACTAAAAAAAAGAGAAAATAAGTTGCAACAAAAGAATAAATTTGAAATAAGGCATTCCATGGTGGTTTGAAGAGCAAGGATTTCTGTCTCAAAAGGTTAAAATCTGCACATTGGTGTTGTTTCATGATTGTACTTTAACTCACTTTGAGTTGATACTTTATTACTCATGCATTTCACTTGTTAGTCCATTTATTCATTTGGCCTTGTTTTTCGACATTACAACCCTTCAAGTCCCCTTGATCATGAACCTAAGGTATGTTAGTGGTGGAGATATTAGAATTTCTACAAGCTTATGGTAGGTGCTAATCTAGGTGGATTGAGTGAAATTTTTCCCATTTGAGAGATGAGTGAAACACTTGTACCATATATGAGCTCTATTATGTTTCTCTTCTTTTATCTTGTTATGTTTCTTGTGCTAATTTCTTTGCACTGAAGTATTCTATGATGTTGATTGATTAGGAATAAAGGTTGCTTGAGTTAATTACACATTCATGCTTAGTTAGTTTTATGTTTGCTTGCATTGAGTGTCTCTATTGGATTATTCTTTAATGATGTTTTGCCCAAGAGTGCAAAAGGCTAAGTGTGGGGGAGTTGACAAACTCAATTATTTTTATATATTTTGATATCTTTTATGTGGGTTTTGTCAATTTAATCAGTCTTTTTAGCCTTAATTGATTTAATATATTTTATTTTGAATTAATATTTTATAGGGGCAAAATTGTCATATTTTGGTTTAATTGTGAGTAATTGGTTTTTGAGGATAATTAATGCTACCTTATTCTTGAATTTTGTTTGCAAGTTTTTGGAAGATTTTAAAAAAATAATAATAAAATTAAAATTAAAAAAAAATAATAAAAAAATAATTTAAAAAAGGGAGCAAAACGTTGCGTTTTGCTCCCCCCACTAATAACCTATTATTCATCAAAGAGGGCGGAAGATCTAAGAGGGCGGAAGATGCAACACGGAGGAAGCACTATTCATCATCTTCATTGGCGGCGTGAAACAAAGAGGCGAGCTGGGCGGCTGGGAAAAACAGGGAGGACACACACACACACAAGCGAACTGACGGCGCGAGAGGAGCTGGACGGAGACGAGAAAACACGAGCAGAAGAGAGGAGTGAGAGCATAATCACAACCTCCAGCACTCTCTCCGTTCGCTGCTCACCTTCTCTGCGTCTTCTCACTGGTGGCAGAGAGAAGACGGCATGGCGGAACCAGTGACGGCCGTGCGAACTGTAACACCCTGAATTTTATGATTTAGGATGAGTAGAAAAGAGAAAAATTTATTAAAATTATTTATTTGCCAAATAAAGGGGGGAAAATTATGAAATGATGATTTTTAGGGTTTAGAGACATTTTGGAAAAGGTATTTCCCCAAAAATGGCTTAAATAATTTTAATAGATAATTTTAAGAGAAGAATGGTTTATTTTCTCTGGAAATTATGGAAAAATACTTAGAGATTTATATTTAATCTGAGAATTTTAGGATAACCAGTTGTGATGGATAAGAAAAATCCATTCAGGATATTTTGGTTTAATTTCTGGATATATCTTATATTTCAAAAAAATAGGAGAAGGGATAGGATTGGAAGAATAAATATTTAGAAGGGCAAAATGGTCCAGCAATCATATAATATACGTGCTGCCTCCTCCTCAATACGGCTGAATCGTTTCTCCGTTGCACAGCTGGTCTTCCACGCGTCTAAATTCACTCCTCCATGTAACAGCTGGTTACCATGCATCTAACTCACTTCATTCGGTGTCCAGAAGAAAAAAGAGAAGGAGAACGAGAGAGAGAGCACGAGAGAGAGACAGACAGAGCTGAGAGACCGAGAGTAACTTGAGGAAGTTGAAGCCGACAAAGAGGTGATCGGAGGAAGAGATTTTCACAGGCAACCGTGATTCTTGGTCAAGGTAAGTCTCTGAAATCGTTTTCCCACTTTAAGTTCTTCACTGGTCGATGTTTCTGGGGGGATTTAAGTCAGTGAGAGCTGTGAAAGAATTTAAATCATGAGAAGGGTCGAAGAGAAGCGCTTGATGATGATAACTGAATGTGTTTTCGACTTGCATGTATGGTTTCTTGTTCTGGTTCTGGGTTTAATGAATCAAGGAAATGGCATCTGATTTCTGCTAGTGTTGAGGGTCGGATTGCATGGGTTGAAGGAGAAATATGTACGCATATATTAATCGGCTTGCATGTAGGTTCCTTGCTCTGTTTTGTTGCTGGTCGAACAGGGGTTAAAAGCTTTGGGAAGTCTGGTTTTTCCATTTCTAAACAGGGGGAGAACCTTTTGTTTAAGGTTGGTTACGGTTTGGAGGAAGGGACCGAGGAAGATGCAAAACGTATATATATATATATATACTTATGTGTGTTATTGTCTTGGGGGGGTTGTAACGTGCTGGAGTATAATATATATATATATATGCTCCGTGTTGGCCGACTACTGTGTGTGTGCGTGTGTGTATATAGTTTCGGTATAAGTATGTATGTATATGTGTGTAGATACATACATGTGCTGTTGCTCTGTTTTTGAAGTTTACCGAATGGAGATTGTTATGCCTGCAAGTTTTGGTTTCGGGTTTAGTGGAAAAGAAAGGTTGATGACATATAAATATATATACAGTTATGATTTCGGTTCACCTATATATATATATAGGATCATATGAATATACGTTATATTGCTGTTTGAATGGGGGGTATCCATCGGGTCTTTTGGATTTGAAGGAAAGACGCTCTATATGTGGGTTTGGATAAGGCTTACTTCTTTATCCTAAGTCAACCCTATTGTTAGAAAATTTTTAGTAAGGATTATGGATTGAGGTTTTGTGTGCAGCGGCAGAATGAAGTAAAATATATTTATCTATGTCTTCGTGTGTTAGTAATTTTGAATCTGAAAATAGATGAGCTAGAGAGTGTAAGTTTGGAAACAATGTTACTGTTTAATGATATATACATGTACATATATATATATATATATAGAGAGAGAGAAAGAGTTAGATTGGAAATGAGTTAAGATAAGGAAATTTTAAATGGGTAAATTAGTAGTTATAGTGTTTGAAAATTATTTCAAAGGTATACATTAGGAAGAAGTTAGAGAATTATCAAATGAAGTAAGAAATGATTAATAGAGACTTAGCTTATGCTTGATAGCTAGAAGATTAAATATTGGTTTTAGATATCCTAAAGCTACTCAAGGAACAAGAAGGAAATTTGTGTTCTTAAGGTTTGCAAATGGTGAAGAGGAATTGTAATTGACTAAAGAATGTTTATAGAATCAAGTTATTGTTGTTGAAAGGATTCAGAGGATTTGTGAGACATAACTTTGTCCTTAAAATATAATAGATAAGAATTGTATGGATTTGGAAATTACAGTATGAAGTTAATTAAGCCAAGCCAATTTTAGAAGCAAGTTAGAAGTACAAAAATAATAATTTATACTCTAGCATAGGCGCCTAAGTGTTAGGTGTTTGGCATGGGAAGTGCTATAAAGTATATATTTGTGTATGTGTACACACTTTCGATTAGTAAGCTTGTAAGGCAAGGGGATAAGAGTAATTAAAGGCTAATAGAGATTGAAAAGGATTGGGATTTAAAGAGAGATTTCTAATTTATGAATTTTAGTTGGATCAAGCATTAACCTGCCCTTACTAAAATAATAGGTTTTGATATCTGCAAAAGCCCACCGAAGAAGCTAAGAGAAAGGAAACAAGTAAGGTTTGATTTTGAAGCAGAAGGTTCAGGTAGTAG